CTACAATAAACCAATTGATCTGGTGCTCGACACGCCTCTTTCCACGTCCATGCAAATACCAGGATCGCGAACGTTCTCATTCATCGGAAAATCGATCTAATTGTGATAAAACTCCAAGCGCTCAGCGTGGCGTCGTAGCTCAAGTGGTAGAGCGTTGGCTGCCTAAAGGCCTTCCCTGCTATGCGGGTTCTACTCCCGCCGAGGCCACGAGTTTTTGTACAATTAACTCAACTAAAAATTCACATAAGAATTATGGTAGAGCATTTTCATAAGTATTTCCCGCATTACCGGTGTCCTTCCGCTAAATTCCAACGGCAGCCAAGGTTAGGGTTCACGCTGGGAGACAGATAAAAGGTACCCACCCTGGAATCGAGCTCAAGGCCACTTATACCCATGTCCAATCGCCCTCAGACATAAAACGGCCTAACCTATCTCCGCAATAAGGGGAGACTGAAATGCAGCGCACAGTATTCGACTTACCGAAGCAACTGGTACGAGTGGATTTCGTGCATCGGAGAGAAGACTGGTGAGACTTTCGTTGATTGTCATAGTTTTGGTTAGGGCCATGATGCCGGCCAAGTCAATCGAATTCTGCCGAATGTCTAAGAGAACCAAGGACCTTGACTCACTCAGATAGCCGGACAGTGCAAAGATACCTATGAGAAAAAAAACACGAAATAGCAATCAGTTAGCTGATCAAAATTGCCTAACCGCAGTCGCTGATGCAGTATCCTCAGAATACGATCACTCTGAACAAAAGTTAGCAGGACCACTGCTAAAAACCGCACATCATCCATTAATAATCAAAAGCGTCTATAGATTCGAAGCGGCATTTCCTGCGACACGAAGATCCGTGTATACCGTGCATCCATCCGTTCGGTCATCTTCTACAGTTGTGACTACTGAGCTTTGCACATGGAAGGTGAACGAAGATTGGAGGTAATTGACCAACACTCCCTGAGGACCATCCTTTGAGTAAAGTACACCGACTTTGCCTCAGATGAGACAGCCCGCACTCAAAAGGAAGATATCATGAGGATAGCTTAGGCCATCCAAAAAAGATGACTGAGGTAGGTTGGGAACGTTCTCCGTCTTACGCCTCACGATTTCAGTCATACTGCCCTCGATTCGACACCGTTGCCCATCCAAAGACGTCAAAGAGGAGGTCAACTCAGGACCTGGCTCGACACAGTTTGTCAAGACATGGAATCGGTACTTGGACCTTCGGTATTCGGTCTCCATCGCGAGAGGAGAGAATGGACTGAGTTTTTGGGATCCGCTGCCGCAAATCGAAATGTGTGAGGAGGTAAAATATGTACCATTTTCGAGGCCGGCCAGATCAGGTATGAATATAGCCATACAAAGTACAGTTACAATAACGATAAGAGTTTGACGACCTGGACACCAAAAACTTTCATAAAGACTGACAACGGCGATTGATTAGGCGCGGTAGCTAGCTGAGCATTCTGTTCTGATCAGCATCGATCGCTAGATACTACTGATCAAAATTCACCACAAAGAAACGAACTCGAAGGTCTCGTAGCTCAGTTGGTCAGCGTTTTGGTTATACTAAAGCCTCTCACTTGCTGGCGTGAGTTAGAACCCCACTGAGGCCGCCGAGTTTTTCACAATGGGGTCAAATGAACTCGAATACGCCATAAAAGTGTAAATGAGACGTCATTGGAATGGTACTTTTACAACAGGACTAACTGGTCTGACAGTTGTCAAAGCTACAAAAAACGTACAATAAAGTAATGCGTGAACTGCATTGTAGCAAGGGATACTTCATCAACATTGTAGTCACCGCCCCGCCTCGGATAGCACCAGGTTCTAATAAATATGAACCAAGACAAATAGTAGCCAGCCTGAAATCCTGCTCTGATCTGTCTGTTATGCGCGTATTCACCACAAAATCCAACTTTGCTTACCGATATCCACGCATGAAGAATCTGTTCGGCAGCCTGGCAGACTACGGTGTCAATGACTCTTTGGGAGAATATTAATGTAACTAGTGGCCGGATTCTAAAGCAGTAAACAAGCTTGTAGTTTTGGCCCTGGCAACAAAAACGCCAATGATAAACATACCTACGGCACGCCCTGTTGTGCATCGGGTACGTCTCAGAAGCGAATGAGCGCATCTTGTTATTACTTGTACTTGTTACGGCTGTGATCATGCCTGATCTAGGCGGCCTCAATGATGTCATGAACGTTACCTCTCCATG